TCACTGTTTTCTTAGTATTAATTATAGCTATGTGAGCAATGCCCATTAGGTTGGTGGTCAAATACCAGCAACTCTGTTGTCTGAAAGATTATTTACAGAAAGCCACTGGGCATTTGTTTCTTATTGAATTTCTTCATGTGTATTTGGAACAAAAGTAAGACATCCCAAATGAAACATTTCTGATATAATTTGGCTAGTGGGAGTTTACATTAGGTTCCTTTCTGTAAAGAACAATTCTACAGGAAAACAAAGACTATTTTTCACTCAGGTATCCAGAGATAATGATATTGTAATCTTTTCCCTATTGAGCAACTGCTATGTCTTGCTGATAATATTCAAGATGCTCTTGTTTACTACCAGTGAGCAAGGGGAAAGAAGTGGTAAAGCAGGTAACAACTGAGAAAGTTTCCTTTACCTTTTTAAGCACCTTGAAAAGATGGCTTTCAACAGCTTTGCTTTTGGCCTGGTTGCTTTGGTAGTTCCTCTGATGAACAATTTGAACCTCCATATTAGAGCAAAGATGACTTTTTTTGTTATTTTTACACCTGCTACATGAGCTCACATCCAACTCCATCAATTTCCTGGCCTACATCTCAATCATTCACAGATACACACAAAACTGTGCTCCACTAATCTGCTCAGCATTTTAATCCATTCAAATTGATATATCACTATTAATAGTCACACCAGTCAAGATGACCATATAGCTTAACTGTCACATTATACCCCTCGTCAACTTGTTACCTGTTGTGATTTATATCCCTCAAGGGCTTCATGCATTTATAGATAGGGCTTTGGGAAGAGGATTAGACTGTCAGAGAACTATGGCTGGCTGACTGCTAGGAGTTAGGGCCTGGTTGGGGGAGGAAAGTCATTGGCATGTGACTGGAAGGGGTTATTTCCCTCCATGGCTTCCTTCTCTTTTTCTTGGTCATCATGATGTGAGCAGCTTTACTATGTCTAGGGCCTTATAATTTTGCACCCTTAAGCCTGCAATGGATGGGGCCCTGCTGATTCCTAGAATGTTCTTCTCCCAGTCCAACATACTTGCATACTTGGTTTCTTTTTAATGATAATAATCTCCTCAGAAACCATACCTCCTTTGGTCTCAAAGATATAGATAGATAGATATAGATAGATAGATAGATATAGATATATAGATATAGATATAGATATAGA